AGGGTTTCCAAAAATTGTCATTGAGTTTACCTAAAACTCCATGACAACTTTTGAAGCCTCCACTCTGGATACATTTTTCAAAGTTGCAAGAGTAACTAAACTCTCGCGAATTTTTTTCGCGCAAAACATGTTATTATTAAAGGTTTTATCAGTTGGCTTTAGTTTAGTTATGAGCAAGGGCTAGGTCCCAGAAGAAAAATAGCTTCGCCAAAAAATGCGACTGGTTTTCAATTCAAAAGAATAGCAAATGCTTGTAACAAAAGTTCAACCAGGTTTTGCTCCAAGACTTGCTAAGGAAAATTTGTCATGGAGTTTTATCGTGACCTCATGACAAAATTTTGGAGAGGTGCTACGCTGCAATGTTTGGAGGCATAAATCTTACATGAATATCACTGGTTCAAAAAGGGGTTGGTTTGTCATGGAGCTCTGTTGGGTTCCCATGGCATTATGTACTTTGGGTTTCGTTTTTAAGGCTGTGGCTCTCCTCAAAAGGGGCACTGCGTGAGTTGAGGGCTTGTGGTGTTCCATTTGTCATGGAACCCCAATGATACACCATGACAACCACATAAGGTCCTCGCTGTCCTTTTTTGTGGGCGGCTGCCCCCCAATAATTTTTGCAGTCGAGTCGAGTAGTAGTTAGTTAATAGTGTATCATGTTGCTTGTAATAGCTATCACTATCATCACTTGTATAATATACTTCCTGCTTCCCTTTTTTCACAGTGGGCACATCAAACATTAAAAGCATCCTCTGCCAGCTTCAAAGCAGCACGCCATTCCATGCCATGGACAGCCCAGAGCCTTGCGCAGACCCTCCACTTCTGCCTGTCCAACATGCGATTCCTGAAATCCATAAGCTCAGCCGGCTTCAAATGCTCCACATTCAGTCGGACTTGATTCGGGGCCTGACCAAGGTTGGGCAGGCGAACTTTAAGACCCTGGCGGTGTTGTTGCGTTGTTTCTTTTTGTCTCACAAGACACCGAATAGACCTTAGCGCTTTGCTGAAAACGATGTCATGAACATAAAAACCACTTCAAGGTAAACCCCCTTGCAAGGCGCCCAACATGAAACAGCGTTCTTTCAAGAGAGCCAACAGGCCTAACAGCCTAACACGAATACTTTCAGCTCAACGTTGGCATTCAAAACGGACCCTCTTAGCAGGCTCAAACTAGAGTCAAGGGCTAGCAAGGATTACATGGGGGAGGTGCACTTGATAACCTATCTGTGTTCCATGTTGAGAGTCGGAGGCAAGTGGACACAGAATCACCAACGACAAAACAAAATTCGTCTAGCAAGTAATGGATTTTCGTGGGTAGTTTGCTTGCACCTCTGATGCTAGCACAACACACATTGGGTCAAGAAGCTGCAGAAAGGTCTCTTCCGGCAGGAACATGAAAGGCTCCAGGTCCAACTGTGGGTCCAGGGGCGAAAAACCTGTCAGATCAAGTCAGGAATTGAAGCGCAGCTTTACACCTCCCATTGCTGAAGCTACAGCTGTCCTGTTACTTGTCGCACACATCACTAACATCGACGTTCACAGTTTCGCAGACGCGGCTAACGGCTAACGCCTTCGTGTCTACAACACGTCACGTCCCGGACTGCAGCCCAAATACGCCCCAATGGGCAAGGGAGGCTCGCGCGCGACAGTATCCTGCGCCAGCTCCGTCAAGTAGTTTGCAGCCGCTTCCAAGTTGTAGGGGTCCTCCCCTGGGCCATGTCATGCTTGATTACGACAGATAAACGACAACGGGCAGATATAAATAGGAACATAACGCGAAACCAAGCTGTCCTCTCCCTGGTTTCGTGTTTCGTTCCCACATTGCATGTTCATTCCACATCCACCGCCTCGACCTATATAACATAATCCCAATTGGTTTGGGGCTCCATGTCGGGGCTTCCGCTTTTGGAAGCTACTTACTGACAACGGCGGCCAAAT